CCCCCCCCTTTCCTTTCCCTGGTCTGTTTCACAGGCGCGGTACCGCTGTCAGAATGTCTAATGAGCTGATTCACTAAAGGATATAGGATCGGCTTAAGTATTGTGGTTAGCCAGTGATAGATGGTTGTTTAGTGTTTCTGGGAATCATTATGAAGAGTCATAAATGATATGATCTGATACGCGTTCTGCAAGATGAAGAAATCGAGAACCGATGCGCCATTAACAATATCAATATTGGATCCCAATTTCACTTACTCCTTTTTTTTTAACTGAAAACATTAACACTTTTAGTGCTATGAATATAAAAATATTTTGTAGAAATTTATTCTAATTCTTTTTTTTATTTCAATCAAAACGTTTTGACAAACGGCACATAAAACTCGAGTACAAACATTGCGGGGACAGAATACAATAAATACCCCTCCAACTGGGGTGAAAATATAGTAATATCAAAACTAGACATGTGCGATTCGTTATGGTCTGAATCCAAATTCGGACGAATTTTCAGAAATTCGGACATTCTGACACATCCGAATCCCAATGCATCCGGATGTGTCCGAATCCGAATTTCCGATCCCGTCCGAATTTTGTTCAAAAACGAAACAGAATCCGACATGTGACTTTTCTGGCCAATCAGATGTGTTTTTTCCGTTTAAATGCATCCGAATGGGTCTAAACACGAATTGTCGTTACGGCAACATTGGAGCCATATACAGTATTTACACATAATACTATAGCTGAGGCTCCCAGACCCAAATGGCATTCGGGATCCGAATTGCATTCAGGAGCCATTCGGGTCTGGGAGCCTCAGCTTTAGTAATATATGTATATGGCTCCCAGACCCGAATGGCATTCAGGATCCGAATCTCAAAATTGAATTGAAGAGCTCCTGAATGCCATTCGGGTCTGGGAGCCATATGCATATACTACTAAAGCTGAGGCTTCCAGACCCAAATGGCATTCAGGTGCTTCCCAATGCAGGATGGACTACAATCTCATGATCTGTTTACTAATTTGTATTGAGATTGTAGTCCATCTCAGGAGTGAGC